CCGATTGATTCAAGCTGTTTTCGCCGAAACTTCAGCCTGTACAAACACGAGAATGAGTAAACATAATTATTTCACGCGGATTTGCGGATTGTCGACGAAGCAGACCCCCTTCGGAGTCTCTATCTTCGGCATGCAGGCGGGGGGGAAATTCAAACCGGTCAACTATTTCGTTGAATGCAATTTTCGACGCAATGTAAATACGAAGGGGAAAGCACACCCCAGGGCAATCGTCGCGTTTTCCATTGTCGCGGATAAACATATAGAGGTCACTTTCGGCTCGGCGAAATTATACCGGTTTTCGCTAAGCCTCGCGTAGGTAGAAGGAGACGGGGTTGCTTTTCGTTAACCGGAGTCACTGATCGGGTCTCGCGCGTCCGCTCGAATGTGTTTCACGCCGCGCCGCCGCCCCCCCCCCGAGGGAGCGACGGTGGAGCTTCCCGACGCCGGTGGCGTCTGTCGGGGAGGAGCGCGAGCGAGTGCTCCTCGCCATTCAGACTCTCGCTACCTCGCGCGGGAGTGCACTTGGAGCTGCGACGGCGTGCATCGTACGTACATACATACCAGAATGCCTTAGCGAGAACACCGTCGAGCACATGCACTCGATGCGCTCGTTCTTCGCCCCGAGAACGAGATGCGTGTCGCGGCACGCTATACTAACCGTCCCTTCACACACACACACACACACACACTGTCGCTCACTGCGTAGGTGGTGTGCGCGCGAGATACGAGGGTTGTTCTCTACGAGAGACAGAGAGGGATGAGGAAAGAGAGAGACGAGGGACCACGGAGCAGAGATCGGATTGGAGAATGTGAACGAGTGTACGGCGCGCGCAAGGGAGAGAAAGAGAGAGAGAGAAAGCGAGAAGGAAAAGGGGGACGCGTCGCACTGCGTGGGTCCCTCGAGGCCCGAAGAAGCCGGCGTTGTCGATGATTCACGCCGTCGGCGAGCCGGCCGTGCACGGCCGCGTTTTCACTCTCATTTCACGCGCGGCCCGTCGCTCGCGCGTTCTCGCGCGAGAATCGAGAGAGAAAGAGAGAGAGAAAGAGACGCGCCGCGCGAACGCGTGGTATACCTGTCCACCGCGCGCAACGGAGAGCGAGACGCCACACACAGTTCACACCGCGTTCTCGAGATGCGTGCCACGACAGGACGCGCGAAACTATCGCCGCGCCCGACTCGGATGAACTGCGCGACGACCACGCCTGACACAGCTGCCCGCGGGCCGCGGGCGTGCGAGGGGGAAGAGCGACAAGGAGAGAGCGAGAAGGAGAAGCAACTTCGTGGCACGGGCGCCAATCGCAGCGGTCGGTCGCGACGACGCGAGCGCCGCCGACTGAACCGCGCCGGCCAATCGGAACCGTTCGGCGCGAGAGCGGGTATCGAGCGTCGATACTGCAGCGCCGCGCTATGCCGGGCTGTGCCGGCACTGCCGCCACTTTCCAACCCTTATATCGCATAAGGGCTTTGAACGGGGGAGCACTTTTCCTTTCGTTCGTCGCGACTCTTGCGTAAACGCTACTTCAGGGACCACGGCCCTTCTTATGTTGATTAGAGAAATAACGAGGCTTGCCTCTACATTGTATGTAAAAAGTTGACGAAATAATAAATATTTTATTTATTCGAAATGTTTTTCTTTGATTACCTCGACAGTACTGGTGCAGGTGCTTATTAATTATGTCGTAATATAAACTTACCGCACGTTTTCAGAAAATTGAATATTACTCGTATACTAAATCTACGTATATCGAATGTTATTTCAATAAATAAATTTAATTTTCATAATTGGATTATTATTAAATTTTTGCAAGTTATTCGATATTGTATTGTCAGAGATATTTATATGCACATTGTGGATAATTATTGTCGAAAGACTGCACACATTTATTCATATTTATTTAACGAGTAAATGATAAATGTAATTAATTATTGTGTACTAATTTAATTATTAATTTCACAAGAGAATACACGTAGAGTATACAAAAATTTAAATTTATTTTGAAGTTGGTTTATGGTTTTCATCCTACTTCTTTAAAGCCTTATGTCCACGATACTAAAAATCGGTCCAAGTTCTCGGTTTGAGATTGACTATGTAGCCAATCAATTTGCAGCTTTCAAAAACAGCTGGCAATTTTATTGACCATACAATTCTTGGTCCAAGAACTTGGATAGATTTCTAGTATCATGGACATCAGGCTTAAGAAGCATAGAAAGTTATTAGTTATAAGTTTAGAGGAATACAACAGTAATACAATAGTATGGAAGCTGTAAAGATGCAGAAAAATCGGCTGTAATTGTCGGAAAAATTTAATTTGCGATAAGTTTCTGGCAATTTATAGTAGCTACCTTTTACATTAAAACGTAGCTTAAAAGTAAAAGTTAATCATGATACAAATAATACAGCTCCTAATAATCATGAGAATTATAATTGCAGAAAGAAAATTATTTTCAGAAATACGATCTTCGTTTTTCAACTAATTAATGAAATAATCAGTTGAAAAAACATATGTAGATATAACATAATTTAATATCTACTAGTTCCCCCCATTTCCCCTGCACGCAGCTTCGAAAATATGCGGTAATCCCATTGTAATTGCGTGACCCTCACGATTGGGAAGCTACACACGAAAAGATTACAGGATGATAAAGTCAATTTTATCGGATAACCGAAGATTGCGTGTGTCAATGCATCGCGTAGAACAATCGCGCACCCGGATCACGACATTACAGGATATTTTGAAACAGCGATCAGCCCCAAGTGATTCAAGCACGCACACACGCCGCTCTCGATTTCACGATGTCAACGCTCTCGCGCGATCGCGATCGCGATTGTCCTCTCGGGCTCTCTCTCTCTCTCTCTCTCTACTTGTTATTCGAGCGCGATTCCACTAGGAAGTGTATACGCACGACGGCAATCGTACTCGTTTTGCGGCCTTAATTGGACACGGAGTTAATAAGAGCATCAAACTGTCCGAGACCGCGCGTGCCTGCTTGCTTGCTTGCGTGAGTGCGTGCGTGCGTGCGTGCGTGCATGTACGAGAGAATGAAACGAGAATAAAAGAACACCTCGAACGGAATGCATCTTGCGACAATGCACCGTCGGTTCCGACCCGCGGAGTCGGATGGAAACTCTTGACTTCTTGAGAATCCCTCCGCCAATTACTTCAATCGTGCAATACGCACCAACTTAACTTGTGTGTATTAATGAAGTCGTCGCAATAGAGATTGATATAGTTTCTTATTGCTGTATAGAAAATTTTCACATATTATTATTACGCGATTTAATTTTTGCAAACGTTATTAGAGCCTCTCTAAGCAGTCAATTTTCATTCACCTCTTTTCGAATTTCTCTTAATTTTACCATCTCAACGCATAACCAATTTACAAGTTTATTAATCACCTCTATACTTTTTTATTTTATGGAGTTGCTCAGTTTCGAAATTAAGGCTCATTTACGCGATCCTGCTTCAGCGAGATTCAAGGCTCACCGTAATTATATTCGAGGGAAAAGACATTATATGCTGAATAAGATGTAGATATACGGCTACCTGTTGAGACTCATCCTGATTCCTCTGGCAATTGTATCTGGCGAGAATGGCCGGATTCAAGCGGCGTCTCGACGCCACCGTCGCGGTCACCGCGTCCGTCGTCGACATCGCGTCGACGTTTATCCGATCGCTTACAATGGCCGAAAATTGCGCCTCGACCCGCGAGAACGTCTCACTTTCACGAACGCGTTTACTGCGGCGCGAGTAACGACGACGACGACTCGGCCGTGTGTACGGAAAACACGATCGCGTTCAGGAAACGAGACCAAGTGCGCGAATGCTGCAGAGCGAGCGCGAGTTTTCTCACCATTCGATCGCTCCTATAATTAATCGTTAACGCACCCGACAGCGAAACGAGATTGGCCGATAAAAGTCCGCCGGGAACTGGAAGAGTTTTTATCTGTATTCGCGACTTTAAATCGGCACCGCTGACTCGAAACCGGAACGGCCTGTGAGTCGTTTTGCGGTCTGGAGAAATGACTCACAATCAGAATGAAATCAAAAGAAATTGGCACAAATAAAGAATTAAGGGCAATACTGCGCCGCCCAAAATTTATCATGTCACGAATACAGTTAACTTGTAATGCAAACTATTAAATTTTTTTTTAAATTTACCCTGCAAATCATGTTAATTATGGGACAATATAGTATTTAGGCAAATTTTACTGTACACTACAATAAGATTTCACAGTAAAATTTATTGTAGTGCACAGTAAAATTTACTTAAATACTATATTGTCTCACAATTAACATGATTTTCAGGGTAAATTTTAAAAGAAAATTCTCTCCGTGTACTCAGTTAAAATAATTAGTTGAATGCGTGAGTTTGAGTTGAATGTATATAATTTACTCGAGCTATATATTACCCCAGCTTCAAGAGTCGTAGGATATTAGTGTTGTAATTGCAGGTAGAGATAATATAACAGTAACGTGGAAAAACAAAGTAATAAATCTGAGCGAATAACGAACAGAAAACTAGGATCTACGATAAGTGTCAAGTGAAGTGTAATTGGTTTTCAGCGACGAAATACCTACGTTTTAAAAGCGAAAATATCACGCGGCACTGATTGTGAGTAAAAGTTTTACAAGACTAAAGCAGAAATCACACATTTTCACAGATACAACTTTCGAAATTCTTCTCCAATGATTCTCAAATGATTTAAATCATTTCATTAACAATAAGTAACAATTTAATATGTATATATATATATCAATCTCTTCGTATCAAATGCTTTCAACATTATTGCATATTGATTAATATCCTAATTTCATCGTGAAAAAATTAACGCAAAATCTCATCCTCGCGCCGACAAACTCCGTCGACGCGAATCGCCGTGAAATTGCTGAACTCAGTCCGCGGCGCGGTATTAATATTGCGGACACGAAGCCGACTTCAACGTTCCGGCGATCGGAATGCGACTAGCCTTATCAGAAAGAGTGACAGAGAGACTCACCGCTGCCGTAGTGTCCGAGGTGACCGTGACGCCGGTGACGTCGTCGCAGTTGTCATCGTCATCGTCGGAGTCGTCCATGCGGTCGTCCAGCATCCGTACGGCACCGGAAACAGACCGGAGAAGTGGGAATGAGACGGGATAGGATATAGAGAGGGAGGCAGGGTTTTAACGTCGCGATAAGGACGATAAGGGGCAAGGACCGTCCGGAAAGGAAGGGGAGGGGGAGAAACATTATGTTAGATTTATCTATTTCTGTAAAATAACTATATGTATATTTCATATTTGACGTTTCTTTTATCGTGACTGTTCGTCGTTATCTTAAAGGTACATTATGTGCCTTTAAGATAACGACGAACCGTCACGATAAAAAGAGAACGCCAAATATAAACGATTTAAAAAAATTTTGTGCCGATTTATTCCAATTAAATATTTTCAAATGTATCGATAAATTCAAGAAGATAACTCTCGCTAGTTGCGTGCACGCATTTATGTCGACATTTTCTCTTCGTTGTAACTGGTTGGTAATGCTTTAAGCATGCAACGTAGCATTTACGTATCGTCAAAACAGAATATTTAATTACTGCAACTGATGCGCGGTAAAGTCAGGTTCCTCGAGAATTTCAATTTAATATAATAAGAGCAGAGACTCGCTAATTCTATTTTCTTTCAAAAATTATAATATAAGCTCCTAATGAGAGCAGAGAGAGATTCGTTAACTCTATTTTCTTTCAAAAATTACAGTGTAACCTTTAGAAGCAAAATACTATTATACATTCGGAAAATTTTCCTCCATGGCATTTGCTCGTGAGATACAATAATTACGCGTAATGTTGGAATAATACAGGAACGTTAGAAGAATTCAAGATAATCTTGAAATAAAAACAAAGGAGATATACGTAGAAATACGGAGACTATTGTCTTACGTGCGTCCTGCAGAGCGATCGTGGAAGCCTCCATCCCTGCGATCGTTCGTCCGATCCCCGTGTTATCGTTGAATTCTTTCGCGGCGAATCGCGTGAGTGACTCCATGACGCGTTGCACCGAGGGGTGCCATCGACCGAAATAGATTTTCCAAAACGTACGGATCTCGCGGGGTTGGAATTCAAGGCATTCAAGTATCACCGCGATACGTCGACACGGCCGATTCAGGCGCGTCGGTAAATATATATAATTATATACCGAGAGTTACTCGGGCGAATTTAAATGTTACGATCGCGATTAACGTCAACGTTCGATTCACGAGAAACGTCGATTTGCGAGACGTAATCTCGAAAGAATCATCTGTCGGCGGAAAATCGACGGAAATGCAGTTCGGTCTACAGACTTGAGAGTCTGAATATTTTAAACGATCTGTCGCGATTCGAACAACTCACGAATCTAAAGACGTATTATACGAATGTGGAAAGTGACGTGGCGGATAATCGCGAAGTTCGCGATCCCCGATAAATCATCTCGCACGATCTGCTGCGATTGACGTGCGTTTTTCGCGTGAGTCACGTTTTAATACAGTAAACCAATAATAATTAATATCCTCTCGGCGCGATGCGGAAGATACGTGGACGATCGCGCGTGCTCGTGTGTCGGATACGCGAGTCGCACTAAAGGCAACGCCGGGACTCGGGCGATTCGCGATCGCTCGGAGAGCTTCTCTCACGTGCGACGAAGAAGCGCTCTCTCTCTCTCTTTCTCTCCTATCCCTCGCCCACTGCTCTGCCTTCCACCATCGCTCTCCTACTTTCCTCCTCCCGCATTCTTCCCCCTTAATCGATTAAGAGAATTGATTCTTTAACCCTGCGGAATTCCTCTCGGGTCTCTCTTTTTCGAGCGTTTTTCTTTACCAATAAAATGCATAGAATGCGTAACCACCGTGAACGTTGTCGTTATCGCGTTTAAACTTTAAACAGAGCTTTGTCAATACTTTTCATTTCTTCATCAGATGTCTGCTTGTCAAAATACAAAAAGAAATGGACGTAGTTTTTTTTAAATCAAACTATCATTCATTTTATAGCTATAATTGTAACTGTTCATCATACAACTGTACCTTGTAATAATTACACGGAGAAAATATTCTTTTAAAATTTCCCCTGAAAATTTTGTTAATCGTGGGACAACATAATATTTTGACAAATTTTACTGTACACTACAATAAATTTGTTGTAGTATATATTTAAAAAAATAGTGAAAACCATATAAAATTCGTGTCGAAATACTGTGTTGTCCTACGATTAACATGATTTTCAGGGGAAATTTTAAAATAAAATTCTCTCCGTGCAAATGTAGTAATTAACAGCGCATTTCACGAGTTATGTTATAAGGATTTTCCGTGCTGAACATACTGACTATGTGACTTTTTTTTGTGTCAGACCTTCTCTCCTATCGCGACCGACTGGGAACAGACGTCCGTGAAAATAGCGGCACTTTATCTATGCAGGACCAACACAACAGGCAATGACTATACAATCTTATCTTAATGAGAAACTAATCGGGTGACATAGTGTGCAAATAGCGTGAATAACTATTTCGAACAAAGCCAGCGAGGTCAGACTACGAAATGAGCAACAAAAACTGATTTCAGGGACAATGTCGAGAGAGAGATTTTTAAATATCTAAAATAATCTGTCTCTTTTCATTCGAAGAAAAACTTCGATGTATATCATACTGGAATTAAAAATGCGGCTCTATGATATTTATTTTCCATAGTAAAACGCAATTTATTTTAAATCTTCGGGTTTTTAGAATCAATTCTGGGATTTTTGGATTCTCAGGACGAGAATCGATGAATGAGAATTTCCAAATATAATAACAAAATATGACAAATAAAATAACTAAATAAATGCCTTTAGACTCCAACTCGAATTTTCGTATAATTTTTTCGGAGCGCTTTTATTCTTATAGGACGTCAAGCGGTGCTGTAGAAATTGCTTCTGTTTCACATTACAAATTAATCGGATAATCGACAATCAAAACATTGTCTGATCGTGTTTATTTTTCTCTCACCATTCTCTCAGTAATAATAAGTTACGCGAAACGTTAATTCAGGGAAGCCATCAGTGTTATATTTTTTGCTAAAATGCTAAATTATTTACGTGCTTTTACGATAGAAAATGTTAGGTGATACACCGCTTGCGATAAATAATACCGAGAATAATTATTGGCAACGCGCGGAACAAAGATGGCTTCCGAAAATTATGGACACCTGTTAAAAATCAACGGCATATCGCAAAAAAAAAAATACATGAATATATGAAATACAAATTTTATTATACGCAATCTCGTTAGATTAAGTCAGTTGTATCAATAAACACAATAGACAATTAGTGCAAACTCAGCCTTCTCTCTCTCTTTTTCTCTCCTCTTCTCTCTCCCTCTTTCTGCAACGAAACATGAGAAAAACACGGGCGGACTGACGGCGCAAGATTAGTGCTCCAAATTGCCCAATCTTTCTCCTCAATTCGCACTGGAGTCACAGCCGCTGTGCGGAAAGGGGACGAAAAAAAGGGAACAGCGCGTTGACGAGATCTAATTAATCCGAGCTGTCGCGAGTAGGAGGGGCAGGGAGGAGTGACCATTAAATGGTTAAATTGGTAGGTTAGGTCGGTCCGCGGCGTATCGACCGGCCGCGCCGTATTGACGACGAAATTTGGCGGCTCCCAAAATGGTCGGCGCCCCGTGTGTCTCTTCCGCCGTCGCCCAACAGCCCGACAGGTGAGAGAAAGACGGCGAGAAGGAGAGAAAGAGAGAGAGAGAGAGAGAGGACACAACGCCGGAGCGTCTCTTCACTTACCACTTCGTTGCATCGTCGTTCCACCGGGACGTCGTCACAGCGGCTGCTCATCGAGCATAATTCTCCGTTCGTGGGCGACGCGGGTAAACGGCCACCAGCACGCTTCCTCGCATGCCACACTCGCGAGACGCGACAGCGGGGCGACGAGACGAGGCGAGAACAACACAGGCCACCGAGGAGAAGAGCGGACGCGAGTACGCCGACGACGCTCCGGCACGCCGATACGCGACCGCACTTTTCAAATATTCGCGTAGCCCAGCCTCTCGCGGCACGACGATTCGAGTGCCGACGACGCGTGCGCATCAACGACGAACGGACGCCGGTTGGCCGCCGAGAACGGCTACGCGCACACAACCACACAGATCCCTCGCGCTGCGTCGACTGTCGGCAGTGCCGCAGTGCCGACTACGTGAGTCAAGTGAGCAAGATGGCCGACTCTCGCCGCTCGCGCGCGGCCACCTGCCGCCATCTGTTAGTGCCTCGCGAAAGTTTTTACCGACCACGTGACGCTGGGAGAGAATTGTGAACGCGCGACGGCAGTGACGGCAGTTTTCAGGTTAACTTCGAGAGTTTGAGCATTGAAAACGCGAGATTGGCCGTAAGTGTGAGCGTTCAAAGGCGATCGTTGATGAGTAATGTATGCTCGATTGACGAGGGACGCATAATCTCCTCTCCAAGGCCATGGGCAGGGCGTGCTGCGTCCTGGGCTGCCCCTCGGGTGGAGACGCCCCGTCCCACCAGATCCCCAAGAACCCGGCTCTCTTCCAGAAGTGGAAAAGCATGATTTACTCCGAGAAAATTAAACATCTGACCGACGAGCAGATAAGCAAATGCGCCGTGTGCTATCGGCATTTCGCCGACGACGATTATCTGGTGACCTTCAGAGTGAGGAAGTTGAAACGCGGCATCGCGCCTTCGTTAAACTTGCCGAACGTGCCGGCCTCCTCCAGGGTGTCTGGCGCGGTTGACGTAGAGCCGCGACCGGCTGCGAGCACCGCAGGCACGTTTGTCGTGAAAGAGGAGATCGAGATCGAAGAAGTGACAGAGATTCCAAGAATAACCGAGGAAGTGTCCGAAACGCCTCGGATTGCATTGTTCGAGGACGCTCCGGAAGAAGTCGATGAATCCTGTTTGTCCAACCAGTCGCAAGCTTTACCGGACAGGCGGGCAGAAGAGCGAATTAATTCAACGGCGGTAACGTTTGAATTGATTCGCAGAGAAAGGACGCCGAGGAGGAAACGAATAAAATTGACCGCGGTGCAGTTACCTCTGCTTCGACGCAAGCAGCAAGCCAAGCAGTACGAAAAAACGCCCACGATACAGAAGCTACTGTCTTTCCTCACGCCTGCCGAAGCAGCGTCTATCAAAACCAGAATACAAAAGGCAAGATACTCTCCGAAGGTGTATGTAAAAGTGTACCACGATGTTGCACAGAGGAAGGCTCTTGGTCAGTTGTGAAGTCTAATAACTTATCAAGCAAGTCTCGAACGCGCGAGAATCAAGACACGAAATTGTTCGACCTTTGAAATGAGAAGCAAATCGAACCAATGATATCAATCCCTCACATTTATGTTGACAGGAGAAAATTAATTTTCGTCATAATAGAACAATATTGTAAGTGTATCTTTATTTTATATTAGACGATTACTCCCAACTACTTGTATTAATTGTTTCCCGAGAAGAAAAATTTTAAATATAATTTGTATACTAAAATTTGTTTTGCGTGCAAGATTAATTAAATTAATTGTTTGACTTTTATTTTTTTTTCAGACGACAATAAAGGAGTAAATATTTTAGATATGCTCTCTTATTAGACATATTACAGTAAAGCTGTAAACTTGGCCACTGTGCAGACGGAAAAGATTTTAAAAAAAAGGACGAAAAGGTACAAAATTCCAAGCATTATGTCGATACAACGGTAGTTTTACTGTATTTTTAAAAACGAATACATGAAATATACATTTATAATTATATGCATGTATAATTGGTAGAAGGATTGTATTTATTCTCTGAATAGACCTCTGAATTCTATATCTTATATCACTAACGACGTCGCAGAGAGTATCGTAGAACGTATCCTTTCTGAACACATAATCTTGACGGGGATTATTCGGTTGAGCACTTTACTCGCCGGTGACGAATACCTTTTACTACGCGAGAGAGAGAGAATCTCTATACTGAGACAATAATCCGATGATTCGCCGGTTTTTTTCTTTTTTTTTTTTTTTTTTGGAAAACGCGCCGATAAATCCGCGCGCAACCGATTTTCGAGGGAGAGAAGTGGGGGGAAAGGAGGGAACAAAGCCGATCGAAGTTAGTATAAATCGAAGGTACACAGTGAAATTTATCCTCTTTAGAATTTCTATGATATTCATCTGTACGGAATGTTCCCGAGCATATACATCCAAAAACGTCTGACGAATTACGTTGAAAAATATTCTCGTTTAAACACATTTACGTTTAATCTCTATACATCTTAATCGATTTTTATTCTGGAGGTGCAGAATGTATGCACGTGCGATAATGTTTCTTTATGAGGTACGATGTTTTACTCTTTTTTTTTTCTACGTCCACTAATTACGAAATTGCAATTCAGAACGTGTTCGATTCTACGGCCGATCTCAAAGAGTTCGTATTCGTAATTCGTTCGTGAATTAAGTAAATATACTTTCCCTTTAGTTGCGTTTAGTTATCTACGAAATATTTCCCGGTGCGTTCCAATTTACAATTCTCCTCGCTGGTATATTCTTCGTTTTTTTTTATCGAATTCGGATTCTTGAAGATTTAAGAGACGTGTTAAAAGTACACGAAATATTGATTTCGAGACAAATAGAAAATTTCTCACGTTCTCCAGTATGTTCGAAGAGCGCGTCGGTTTATACTTTATAATAACTCGCCATCAGTCAACTTAAGCTTTCAATTAAAATTGAAAATTTCGAAATCCTGCCTTGAACGCGTTCTTTTCCCATCGCCGATTCAATCAGCAGACTGAAATTACTCGATCACCCGGTTCGCGTGTAGCGTTTTATAATTGAAGTAACACAAATAACAGACGTCAGAGCCTCTTTGCTTCGCGAGCGCGAGGAAGCGGATCGAGAGTAGATTTAAAGACGAGAACCCTGATAGACGAGAAATCTGTCTACCGCGCGGCGGAAGTCTTCGTTCTTTGGAATGTGACTGAGAATCGTGTCTTACATACAGAATCTGCATGCGGGAGAGGCATCCAAAGGGAAAGTGCAGAAACGAACGAAACGGTTCGTAGTACCATAGCGGCGCGTTTATCCGTTGCTTAGGTCGCGTTTTTTTTTAGGCCGTACGGGGGTTGATTTTCCCTAAAAATAGCACTTTGAATCGCGCGCGTGTATATGTATATATATGTATATGTGTGTCCCGTCGCTTCTGAATATTCATCTGGGACCGACTTGGCCGTTTTGTACGAACGATTCGATAAATAAACGCGCCCCTGCACGGTACGGGAGCAGTTCTTGTGCGTTGTTTTGTGATGCTCGTGATCGATAAAATCGATATAGGTACGCGGATCTGTGCCTCTCTCGGAAACGCGCGCCCGCGTTTGGACGAGCCATGAGCGCCGATCAACATCCGAGTGTTTGCTAATTTGATTGTATGTCGCCCGGCGCGATGTTGACCGACTCCGGCATTACGTATTCCCCCGGCAACGTGGAGCAAGACGGAGTGGAGCAGTCGAAACGAGAAGCGGAAAAAAATAGGACGCAGTTAGCATCAAATAATTTATTAAAGCGAAAATCTGGATGTTAGCCCGATCGCGCGGTTCAGAGAAAGAAGGATATCTCTACATAGATTTTCTATTTTCTCCAATTGAATTTTCTTAAATTACACAAATTTGATTTGAATGGTGCAACATAAAAATAATCACCTCCGGAGCTGCGCTAAAGATAAAAAATACGTACAATAATTAAATTTTTTTCACAACAAATATAATATATATTTATGATATAAAATTACCATAAATACTATATATAATAATTTTTTCAAAATATGAATATCTAATATAATTTATATCATAAATAATGATAAATAAGTATAATAATATAAAATATTATAATAAAAATATATAACATTAAATATATATAATATTATACGTATCTCCTCTCGAGTGCCCGCTTGACTCGACAATCATTTGATGGACGGTCGCTATCGCGATCGATCAATTCCTCCGCGTTTCATTACCGTGGAAAAAAAAACTTTCTCGTCCAAACGCGGCTGTATCTAAACGAAATGCGTGGTCGCGTGCATAGATCTACCTCGATAATTCTTGATACGTGTAAATGATTGTCCGTGATTGTCCGTGATTGTACGTTATAGAATAATCACACTTCGACATCTCTACTCCGTTAATTTTTCTCCGTTTCGTGCCTATATTTTCAAAGTACGCAGGATCGAGGATGGGGGGGAGAAGGAGGAGGAGAAGGAGGAGATAAGAAGGGAGACCTCGATGCCTCCTCTGGTATCGCTTCACATTACTTTCTCCAAGTATGTGTGTGTGTATGTCGGGGGTGTGCTTAACGTTAAGGACACTTAACTTTGTATAATCTTACGCCATTAGTTAGAATAATAATCACACACGAACGAATGTTATTTTTTTTCACTTTTTTTCTCCTTTTTTCTTAAATTTTGGAATTGTAGACGGGAAACAGGATCGTCAGATCTCGGCGTGAGAGAGTTCCGACACCTTTCCGATCCGCGCTACCGCCGAGTCGCGAAGACGGGTGGAGGAATTAAACGAGCGTGTCGCTGTCGAAATTCGGGCGGGCGGGGCGGGGATGTCTGATAATAAGAAACAATTAAGCTTCCTTTCCTCAAGATATTTTCTATCCTGAAAACGTGTGTATGTGCGTATGCGCGCGCTGCAACGCGGTAATATGTATGCAAACGACAACTGTCTTTCCTTATTTTGTGCGATGGCGAGGCGGCGGGTGACGACGCGCATAAATCGAAAATTAAATGAAAATTCTAATCACGCGAATCATCGATCAGTTATTCGTCGAATCTCTGCCTCTGTACTTTTGACTGGCACTTTTTATCCGCTGAAATTAATGCGCTCACGTGCTCGACGATTCGAAGAGCGCGTCCCTTCCTCCCGATGTTCCCGCGTGTAAAGTGGTGTCTACAATGAGACTTAAGATTTAGGAAAATTGGCCAATTACAAACGATTATTCTTTTCACGTAAAATGAATAATCAACTGTGACTGGTCAATTTTCTTAAATCTTAAGTGTTAAGTCTTATTGTAGACGCGTATGATCGTCGCGCGCTTGCAGGCTGCAACGTAAAGATGGCTTTGTAACATGACATATAATATATGTATATGGTATACACATAATATATACGCGCGCGCACACACAGAATCGAGCGAAAACATTTAATGAAAATGCTTACAATTGCACGAGCGAAGAGTCGCGCGAGCTTTCGGGCTCCCGAACTTGCTCTCACCGCGAGTGTTCGCCAATATTGCAATATGCTTGCGCGGAGAGCGCGTAAGCGACGATCGGCGCATGTTTGTATTTTGCAGCGGTGAAGCAGCGGTAAATACACGCGCAAAAGTTAAATTCTCCGAATCGTAAACATTGCCCGAGCGCGGACGAATTTCGATCGATCATTCGTGGCCGCGGAACGGTCGGATTGACACGCCAGTGACATTCCAGGTGAATTCGGGGGTGAATTTGGATGCGCACGTGACTCGGCGTTTTCCCGCGTGACTTCCGTTCCGTTCCGCGTGACCGAACTTTTTCATCTCGCGCTTTCCAGTCGCACCTTCCCCCGCCGACGTCCGACGCATCGCCCCGCAAGTTATCTCTCAGGCACTGTAAAGCGTAACGTAAATACGACCGCGAAGAGAATATAGGCCTTGTTTGTGGAACAAATTCACCTTTGTTTTCAGTAGAACCCTCGGTGCAGCGAGTGCGTGCGATCGCGAATCGGATGTGAATCGAGCGCGTCGAGATCCATATCGATCCACATCAATTGGACTCCACCCTAACTTCGAGAGCATGCTTAATGTCGGCCGCGCACCTCTACGTACGTATGTACATGCACTTGTTATTCTCGCGTGTGTTCATCCCACGTAGTGTGTCGTGCCGTACGCGTGACAAACCGTGCGTTAACTTCAAGTACAAATGGCGAATTGGGACTTTAATCGTATACACACTATACACTATCGGTAAGTAATAAACGCATTAAAGTAAGAATACTTTAAGAATAAAAAAGAGGAGGGAGACAGTAGATCTGTTTTCTGTTTCCTACACTTGGACCGCACTAGTACTTTCCTTCTCGCTTTTGCCACATCGAAGATATATATATCTATTTCACTGTAAGTGCAAAGAGTACCGTGGACATATCGGTTGCGACACTTATTGCCATAATTTTAATATATATTTAATATATATAATATATATTATATAGGTAACTAAATATTTTGCAAATGCGAACCCACGATGGTGTACCTATACTATCTTTAGTCCAGAGACAGTACACCAATCGTGGCTCGCATTTGCAAAATATTAGTGCTTTTCGAAACCTATTAAGAAAAAAAAAAGTGTCGCAACCAATATGTATCCACGACTGTACACTAGTTCAGGTATAGAAAACAGATTTGTCAGTGTGTCGCGTGTACGTGTATACGTGTGCGCGATGGAAATCGGAAGAGTTACACTTCGAGAAAGGAAATTCGCGAAATTGACGGCGTGGGAAGTTCAAAATCTTATTGCTACTGCTTATGCGCTCACACGCGCGCATACGTGCACGTCACACGCGACTGAAAACTTTCTTCAATTTTCGCGTATATTAACTTGATTTTCGATCATCGACACGGCAGATCGGACGTCCCGGCCGGGAAAACATTCAGAAATTAATCCTTCCTTTCTCTTTCCTTCTTGTCATAAAAAAAATGCAGTTGAAAGAGCGGAAGGGATTATACATTTATTATTCTCGCGTGAGTTTGTCTCACG